TAGTTTTTTCAAGATTCATTCCATTTGGAGCATGCAACAGTACTTGTTCTTTTTATGGCTGAATAATACTTCATTGTATATTTATTCATTGGTTGATGGACATTTTATGGTTATTTTGTCTATTATGAATTACAGCATTGTGAGCATTTATATATGTGAGCATTTATATACAATAAATAGAGTCTCTTAGGTTTATTTTCCTCCTTGCTGGAGTTTTTAAAGAGTGTCTTGGTTTGGTAAACATTCTAAGCTTCTACATGCCTGCAGATATTTTTATTTTATCTTCACTAAAATAGTCAAATTCTAAGTTTGACATTTATTTATAATACTATCCCTCCATTGTCTTCTGGTTTTTAGTATTGCTATTGAAAAGTCAGATGTTCATCTGATTCTTATTCCTTGGTAGTCTGTTCTTAAGTATCTGTTTGGCACTTAGCTATTCCAATCTGAATTTACTTTAATTCTGAGAAATTCTTATCTTATCTCTATTTTCTCCTATTTTCCTGGAACTTCTATAGTATTGATCATGGTATTTCTATTTCTATCCTCAAATTTTCTTTTATATTTTCTATCTCTTCATCCCTTTCCCCCTGAAAAATAGCATATTTTGGAATTCCTAATCTTTCAACCTACTAATATGTTCAAGTGTTATCAATTCTCTTACCCAACCAATCTAATTTCAGATACTGATTTGTTTTGTTTTGTTTTGTTATATCAGGGATTCCAGTTGGATGGAATTTTCTGGCACACTTTTTTTTTCTATTGCTTAAAGTATTACAAAGAGTATTATATATGTCTCCTTTTTTCCCCCCTTGACAATCCCCCGGTCTCCCCTACACCCCAGTGTCTTGTGTCCATTGGTTATCTTATATGCATGCATACAAGTCCTTCGGTTGATCTGGCACACTTTTTTACTTCATTCTTAAGCTGTTCTCTCTCTCTCTCTCTCTCTCTCTCTCTCTCTCACACACACACACACACACACACACACACAACTTTAACATAGCTTATTTTAAATCCTTGTTTGTCTGGCTCCCAAATTCTATAAGTCATTCAATTTGTTGTCTGTCCTTTATGGCTTTTTTTAATTCAACAAATATTTATTGAGCGTCTATTATGAGCTAGAAGATACTGTTCCAGATACTAGGGAAACAGCAGAGAACAAAATGAAGGTCCCTGGCCTCATGGAGCTTACAGTCTAGTGTTTATGACCACTTTGCCTGAATGCTGTCCATGACCCTGGGCAAATCTCTCCTCAGCTATCCAATGCAGGAAGAAGCGGCCTGGCCCAGACATGGATAACAGGTCTGATGCACTGTAGGTGCCAAACAGATACTACTTCCAACCCACTACCCAGAGAGTAGATCAGGCTGGAAGTTGACTTTTAATAATAAAATACAGCGGGGAGGGCAGAGGGAGTGCTGCAGGTGGTGGGGTGTGCTCCCACACCAGGTTCTCCGCTGTCTACACAAACTGCTGCTGCTGTTTGGTGGCTGCCTTTCTGGCAAGGTCCCTTGGTCTTCTCTGTAGCTGCCAGTGCCGTCTCCTTTGCCTTCTTGGCTTCCTTGGCTGTCTGAACAAGGGTTTTGGAAGGGGCCTCACCTTGCAGCTTGGCCAAGATGTATTCAGAACCCTTCACTGACTTGGTCGAGTGAGCAGCATTGGCAGGAAATAGTCGCTCGGCCCAGCGGGGCATCCTGTTGGTCTTGGTGAGAAGTCTCCAAGACAGGAGCTTCTGGTGCACTATGTCGTCTGTGTGCTATAGGGATTCGGGTACCGCTGCCAGAAGCAGCGAGCACTTGGTCCCAGGAACTCCGGAGCACGCTGTGGCCCAGGAAATACTTCACCATTGTCGCGGCCGTGCGGGTCAGCACCCGAGCAGCATCAGGGGTGCAGAGCCCGGGGGCACGTGGAGGCCAGGCCGGAGCTCGGCGCACACCTGCCAGGCACCAGCTCTGTCACTGCCCCACTGCACCCCACCAGCACCTGCCGCCATGAGGAGTTGTCAGGCCGCACCCCTTTATGGCTTTTGTGTATGCTGAGTTGTCTAATACTTTCCCCCTGTGATTATTCACTGCCATATCTCTTCAAGACTTTGTTGCCAAGAAATGACTAGTAAATGGCATTTTTATTCAAATGTGTTTTATATAAAACAAACAAGACTTAAAATAATCTAAATGTAACAAGATATTTTAATGATTCTTAAATTTTTTTATTAAGAATAAAATGTTGCCGAAACCAGTTTGGCTCAGTGGATAGAGCGTCGGCCTGCGGACTGAAAGGTCCCAGGTTCGATTCCGGTCAAGGGCATGTACCTGGGTTGCAGGCACATCCCCAGTAGGAGATGTGCAGGAGGCAGCTGATCGATGTTTCTCAAAATTACTTTCTTTTTTTAAATATATATTATTGATTTTTTTCTTTTTCTTTTTTCTAATTATGCGGGCATCCTGGTATAGTTAACACAGAGTTGGCAGGAACCAGGCCCAAGATGCCAGCCAGCTTCTGGCTGCTGTTCTCCCAGCAGTGTAACACCTAGTTACGAGGCCACCTAGTCAGCTGCCTACTGCTGGGGTATTTTATTGAATTTTTACAGAGAGGAAGGGAGAGGGATAGAGAGTAAGAAACATTGATGAGAGAGAAACATCCATCAGCTGCCTCCTGCACACTCCCCACTGGGGATGTGCCCGCAACCAAGGTACATGCCCTTGACCGGAATCGAACCTGGGACCCTTGAGTCCACAGGCTGATGCTCTATCCACTGAGCCAAACTGGTCAGGGCCTTTGAGTATATAAAAGTATTCATGTTCAAGAGGTAAATTACAGAAACATAGTCTAGCTGTGTACATTTTAATTATTAATCAAGCTTTTAATAAGCTATTGTGGGTCAGCAGTGGATGGCATATAAGATAGTGGGGGCAAGAAATAACACAGCATTGCTATATTGTACCTTTGACCTCAACTTTTTTCCAGGCCATCCCTTTCCCTGGAACTGAGCCTTTGAACTCCCCTCCTCCCTTTCCTTCCATTTTCTTCACCAGGTCCTTTATCCTCCGGACCAGAATAATAAATTTGTAGCCAAATTCTGTCGTAAACACTGCTAATTTATCACACATTCTTTGCCTGCCAAGCCCTGGGTATGCCCTCAGAATCCTTGTTAGCACATAACACTTCAGGGAGTTTGCCACTAGAGACAATACCCAGTTGTCATTTTTGTTCTAGCTCTTGTTCCAATCAGACTAAGACATTAACATATTCAGGCTATATTTGCTTTGACGGCTGAAGAGGAATAAAGGTAAAATAACAAGTAAAATTATTTCCCAGTATCCAAGAGACAGACTTTCTTTTAAAGTCTTTTATATTGCTCCAACTCTTGTTTCTATCTGTGCTATTTCTGCTTCTTTCTACCTAATTAGTTCAAAGTAAGAAATAAACACACTTGTATTGAGCAATACAAACTAGATTTTAATTCAATAGTAAGTGAAAAGGGCATCCTTTTCTTTCCTAATATTTTCACCTCTTTAGTCACTCCTGAGGTAATTTTTCATTTTTGGTATAATGTACATTTTTTCCTATCCTTGTATTTAGATTTTTTTGGTAAAAATTAGGTACCAGCAACTAAGCAAAGGTCTTTTATTGCTAAAAGAACATAGGAATTTGAGAAAAGAAAACATAGAAGGAAATGCTAATAGGGCAAACAAGTATTTATTTTTGTTCCTGAGTTAATATGAGGTGGATATTTTTAAAATATTACTAAAAAAGACATAGAAGAAGGTGGAACATTCCTGAGTGAGCCAACTATCTGGCCATTACTCTTTTGTGTGCCTAAACCAGCTGTGGGCAAACTATGGCCCGCGGGCCGGATTCGGCCCGTTTGAAATGAATAAAACTAAAAAAAAAAAAAAAAAAAAAGGCCGTACCCTTTTATGTAATGATGTTTACTTTGAATTTGTATTAATTCACACAAACACTCCATCCATGCTTTTGTTCCGGCCCTCCGGTCCAGTTTAAGAACCCATTGTGGCCCTCGAGTCAAAAAGTTTGCCCACCCCTGGCCTAAACTATATTATTGTACTTGTTCTTCACAGCCACTGTGTTCAGTATAGGTATTGGCCTCACTTATAAAAACAAGGAGAGTAAAAAAGACAAATAATTTACCCAAAGACACACGGCTAGTAAGTGGTAGAGTTGGGATTCCACCCCCATCTCTGGCTACAAATATTTTTGTTCTTTCCCACCTAACCATTTTAGAAATTTTACTTTTATAAGATTTTACCTTTTTCCGTAATGGACTTTATATTACAGCTTTTTAAATAAGGACATTGATTACATGCATACATACATTTAATGTTTTATAAGTTATTTGGGCCTCTGGCACTGTGGCTAAAATGATAAGATTCTGTTATAATAGTGTTGAGAGCTCTTGACAGCGTAGCCCAGTGATACAGCATACTGATTGAGCCAAGTGTCAAATCCTGACCCCACCACTGCCTCAAGCTGTGAGAGACCAATATATAAGGTTGTTTCGAGGATTAAACATGGAAATAGGCATAGAACACCTAGCACAATAGTAACAAATAGTAGTAACTGTATTACATATTTACTATATTATGTTAATTCCCTAGCTTCTCCATGAGATTCTGAGAATTTTCACAGAACTTACAAACTATACTAAAGATACTTATTTTATACTTACTGTGTTGATATTTGTAAGGAAATAAACATTACTTCTCCTCTTGTATTTTTCATATTTTGGTTATTTTAAAATATAATCATTACTATTTGAAACATATAGTCTCTCTCCTGATCAGGAACATTTGCCTCATCCAGGAATTACAGTATTTCTAGAAAGATTCCCAAAATCTGTTTTGGTTGAAGATAACTTGAAATAATAGTAGTAGACACTGGCTACTGGTGTCTTTGTTTTAACTTTCTATTGTACGAGAATGCAGAATGCACAATTCAGTGATTAAAATATTTGCTATCTTCTTTTCTTTTTCAGAAGATGAATAATCTTTCATTTAGTGAGCTATGTTGCCTCTTCTGCTGTCCACCTTGTCCAGGGAAAATTGCTTCAAAATTAGCATTTTTGCCACCTGATCCAACTTACACACTAATGTGTGATGAAAGTGGAAGCCGCTGGACTTTACACCTATCAGAACGAGCTGACTGGCAGTATTCTTCTAGAGAAAAAGATGCTATGGAATGTTTCATGACTAGAACCAGTAAAGGCAACAGAATTGCCTGCATGTTTGTGCGTTGCTCACCCAATGCCAAATACACCTTACTCTTCTCCCATGGAAATGCTGTTGATCTTGGTCAGATGAGCAGCTTTTACATAGGATTGGGATCACGGATTAACTGTAACATATTCTCATATGATTATTCTGGATATGGTGCCAGTTCTGGGAAACCATCGGAGAAGAACCTCTATGCAGACATAGAAGCTGCTTGGCTTGCTCTTAGGACAAGGTAAATGGTGATGGGAATGATTTTCTACACTTGGGAAAATTGTCTTGTATTAGAATAAAATAAAAACTTTTTATAACACATTTTAAAGTGCTAAATAGAGACTGTATTTACCATTATATACCTATGAAGAGTTAAAATTAGATTGTAATTGAATTAAAGTGTGATATAAAAAACATTTTTTCAAAATTGCAGCATTTTATGAGATTGAGAGAAAATGTGATTTAGCTAATTACTCATTGACTTGACCTGTCATTAACAGTGTAAGAGGAAGCATTGTTTTTGTTAAAATCCTAAGCCATGGTTTGCATTATTCTATATAATTATCTCCTAGAAGATGTGGCTTAAAGTTATCTTAATGGAACTATGTTTAAAGTTTTCATTCTATAAAACAGATTTTACTTTCATTCTGGACTCAAAATTTGGAGAGGCTCTCAAGTGAAGAAAAGTTAATGCTATGATAAATCATTTTCATAATATCTGTTACTATGTCAGTTATTCTTTGTTTATAACTACATTTTTTTGGAAGCTAGAAATTGTGTTAGTCTTACCTAGTCACCAGGATACTTACAAATCTTCTAAAAAAATAATGCAATTTTGTAAACTTCAGTGTATTATCTCATTATTTAGCATGCAGTAAGTAGATATCTTAGTATGAGTTATTCTTCCTATTAGACATTGATAAGCTGCCTGACTTCCACAGTATTTTAGATAGAAGCTAAGGACATAAAGAAAAGAAAAAGAACATATATACATAACCCATGGACACAGACCAACAGTATGGTGATGGCCAGAGAGGAGTTGGTGGGGACTGGGTAGAGGTAGGCAAGGGCAGTGGGGAGGAGGAGGGTAATGGGGACATCTGTAATAGTATCAACAATCAAAATTAAATTTTTAGAACCATTTACCCCTCCAAGATATGTAATAAAACTCAACTCTCATAGCAAAGTTCTATATAAAGAGGATTCTTAAATCAGTTGAAATGATATGAAAACGTATTTGATGAATAAGAAAAAAATAGATGGTAAGTAATATAAGTAGTAGGGAAGGAGTTCAGGGTTGGGTAGAAGAACAGAATGTTAAAAACCACCTTAAATGACAAAATTGCTTTTTAGAGAGGGTATAAGGGAGAAGAGAGAAACATTGATGTGAGAACGCAACATCGATCAGCTGCCTCTGTATGTCCCCCACAAGGGATTGAGTGCCCTGACTGGGAGTTGTACCAATAATCTCTACTGCACAGGATGAAGCCCAACCAACTGAGCCACACCAGCCAGGGCAGTAATATATTCTTTAATAACAGATTTATTGAGTTATAATTTATATACCATAATTCACTATTTTAAAGGGTAACTCCAGTGGACAGGTATGTTTCTTAAAGATGCTAAGTTAAAGCAGACAGCCTTTATTGTTAGTGCTTCTTAAGTAATCAGGAAGGGAAAAGTAAATAATGAGTTTAAGTGGTTATTACTTGAATGGTCTGGTCTTCTTTTTAGGATCATTGATAATAACCTTAAGTTTCTGAACTTCTGATCTAGCGAGAGAAAATAAGGGACTAATATTCACTATGCAGCCTTCACCTACAAATTTTGAAATCATTATCTTTGTGTTGTAATAGAAAAAACACTGGACTGGGAGTCAGGATTCCTGGGTTCAAATTATAGATCTGTCACTAACTTACTCTGACTTTGAATATCTGCTCAGTAAGCAGCTGAACCAGAGTAGATCGTCTCTAAAGTCTTTTCTAACTTTTATTCTGAAATTCTGTTATTGCTTGGAGTCCTCTGATGTGACATTGGCAGCTGCCTCTGCTGCTCTGGAACCTTGCCCATCACTAACTTTAGCCTAAAACCTATAGTTGCCACCAACAATGCTGCTACTCAGCTAACAGCATCTGTGCAGCCTTAAGAGTTATGCTGATGCTGCAAATGTTCATTTTCCCAATTTTCATTCCTATAAAATATGCACAGCCAGGTCTGTTGTAAAGAAACCTTTTCTGAGTTTACTTACATTGAGAGTCAGTCTGGAGTAGATGGAACCCAAACTCTGGAAATATCCAAATGCTTGAATATAGGACTGATTGAAAGAAACAGTGGAGGGGATGTCATTAGCTGGATAGTTCAAATAGGCGTGTGCCCCTGGAAAGGGCCATAGGGAGCACACAGGGCTTGTCTTGTTCTTTCCTGGTGAATGCTCAGATAATTTGGAAAGCTCTATTACCTTTTCAAAAGATTAAAAGCTGTTGATCAAATGGCCCTTAGCAGCCAGAAGTGATTACTGAAGTGGAAAGGCATATTTGATGTCACTTAACCCTTAACCCCACATTCATTAGCTCCTGTAGCATCTCACTTGCACTTGCAGTAGTTTTATAGTTGGGACAGTTATACTGTAGACAGGTAATAATAGTGCCTGGAACATAGTATGTACCCAATATTACTGAGTTCAATGAGTTTACGTATTTAAATCCGAACCCTTTTTAAAGGGAAGAAAGCAATACTCTTGAGATTTTAGCATGAAGTCTATTCATAGTTAACTGAATTGTATGTCATTGGAATTTTCATTCATCTGTCTATCTTTTCAATCACTAATCCATTTCTATGGTAAGTAAAGGCAGATTTCAAGAAATATAGTAATTTGCTATTGACTAAAATAATGTGTGCATTCATTCTATACTGTAACTATATGTTACATTTTCACCAATATGACCAACTTCAGAAAAGGAAACGATCTACTTTTGATGTCTAGAGAAGTAATGTTTCTTACATTTAATGGAAGGTAAATACTATATTAAATATCAATCATTAAAATATTAGTGTTAATATGTTCCAAGTTTAGTCAATAATATGCTATATTGAATTATATAAGTGGTTTAATACAAAATTTTTAAGATTGAAACTTAAAAAGACCTCAGCAATTTTTCCAAAAGATTAAATTGAAAAATGAAATAAGCTAAGACAATAGATTTTACTAGAGCATTAAATATAATAGTGATGACTAAGAAACTTAAAGTTTAAATACAAATTTGTTGACATTGTCTAAGTCATTCGGTTATAAAGTTAAGTTGTTAGGGATGATTGAACATTTCCATACCAGTCCAACTCTTTTTTTTTTTTCCAATTTCTGAACTTTGTAGATATGGCATTCGCCCTGAAAATGTGATTATATATGGCCAAAGTATAGGGACAGTACCATCTGTGGATCTTGCTGCTCGATACGAGAGTGCTGCTGTTATTCTTCATTCTCCTTTGACCTCAGGAATGCGAGTTGCTTTTCCTGATACCAAGAAAACCTACTGTTTTGATGCATTCCCAAAGTAAGTACCAATATTCAAAATACTTGAATTCAAAGAAACTTTTGAGGGGAATTTTAACCCATCACTTAAGGTATTCATGATACAAATCACTCATCCATGAGCTAATATTTTTCATATCTTACAGAAATTGTGAAAAATTAACTTAAGCAGGTGGTAATAGACACCAGTCAGGAAACTGAAATGTTTGAGCAGTAGTGATTCAGGTGCAAAGTACTGAGGGCCTTTTAACCAGACAATGGCATTAGTATTAGAGACAAAATGATTTTGAGAAACAAGATTGATAGAACTAAATGTCAGGCTGGATAGAGGATGCTCACTAAGTAAAAGAACTTGAACATAATTCCCTGGGTGGTGATACCATTCATTGAGACACAATACTGAAAGAAAGGAACAAGTAGAGGGAAAATGAGACACGTGTGAATAAAAATGAGTGATATGTATTGGTATCTGATTGACAAAAGTAGTGAATTGCAAAAAAAGTTGAGTCTTAAATGAACTAGGGTAAGTATTGCCGCCATAAAGTCTACAAACATAAGGTGTTAGACAAATTTGAAAGAAGGGATACTTCTGCTTCTTAAGACAAGATGGTAGTTCCCACCAATTCAAGAAGTGAGAATCTGGCAAATATAAGTTTTCTTTTCTTTGCCTAATTGGCAACATTAAAGAGGATATTTTTTATGAATGATAGGTGGACCAAAGGCCAAGTCATCACTTGGTTCTTTTTTAATTTTTTTAATATTGATTTCAGAGAGAGAGAGAGAGAGGAGAGCGAGAAAGAGAAAGAAACATAAGTGATAATCATTGATTGGCTGCCTCTTGCATGGCCCCTACTTGGGATCAAGCCTGCAATCTGAGCATTGTGCCCTTGACCGGAATCGAACCTGGGACCCTTCAGTCCACAGGCCGACACTCTATCCACTGAGCCAAACCGGCTAGGGCATCACTTGATTCTTTATAAGAACATCAAGGGTCATTTTAAAAACTTCTTTTTTTTTTCATCATTAGCAAGTCAGAAGTCACTTTTGAAGGGATGCTTATAGTACATGTGATTTTATCACCAGAACAGGCTATTGGAGGGAATTTGATTTTTATTTTCAGTTTGTTTTTGTTTTAGATAATGGTAGGTTAGAAGGTATGTCCATTACATTGCTTCTGTTTAGCTGAATCATAGAGATGATAGGAAGGTATTTGAGGTAATACTATTGCCGTAAAATTTCTCTCTCTTGTCTGCCTCCCTCTTTCATTATTGCATCAACAGAGAGGACAGCACTAACAGTTTACTGTTAGAAAAAGACCTTTAGTATTGAATTGTCTGACAGCAAATAATATACCCAAACATCTTTCCTTAACCAAATGCAGCCTTGAATAATTTCATTGATAATGTTTTTACTTTTTATAATTCTATCCTCATTTTATGATTATAGTGCCCCCAAGCCTCCCTCCCTATCCCTCTCTCTCTCTGAATTTTTTAAGTTTTTTGTTTTGTTTTATGTGTAATCTCTGTAATTTATGTCTCCTTTGTGTTGCCTTTTAAATTCTGATTGTTTTAATCTCTGTCTTATGTTAGTGTAATCCTCTGATGTCTGGTAATTCTTGGTTGTCTGCTCATAGTAAGGAAGAGGAACTACAGTGCTGATCTGAAGCGGGTGATTAAGACTTGTTGACTGTGAGCTTCACTGTAGAGTGATCTGGTCAAGCCAATTAACTAGGGATCCCCACCCGAACCCCCATACCAATATTTATATATTTTTCCTTTTAAAGTGGGTATAGTCTCCAAAGAAGACTTTCTAAAACTCCCCCTTGGTGAATGAAGTCCTGGATGCCAGTTCTGGAAGCCCAGTAGGGAGAAAGGGTTCACAGCAGCCAGTATGTATATGCCCACTTGGCCTCTGATACCTCTGCCCTAAACTGTGTCTGGCAATCCCTTAGTCTACAAACCCCACAGTTTTGGGTGGAGTGCAATTACCCTGCTGCAAAAAGTAGGGAATGACGCCGACAGAGAGGGACCTAAATTATTTCTTTGAACAAATTGTAAATACTTCAATCACCCACCTTCATCCCCCTGCCATTTCCTAGTTTTCTCCTGTCTTCCATGGTATAAATTGGGTTGGTTCTTCACTTTACCTTCTGTCCTCTTAAAAATTGTTTTCTCCTATCTACTGTTCAACTCCAAAATTTTTTATGTTTTACTACATTTGCTCTATTTTTGTGAGTTAATACCGTAAAACAAACAAAAATCCTGCCATATATGAGTGTAGAAAGGTATGAAATTAGCATACTTGAAATGGTCTTTAGTTTCCTTGCAACCTCAGTTTTTCTGTGCAAGACATGAACACTGTATGTAAAGGTGCTGTAGGGTTTGAATCATTTTGAATTCCTTCTGGATAGATTCTGGTTTTTGAATTATCTCTCTGATATAGCACAAGAAAGTTTGTTTTACACTCCTTTTCATAGTTAATTCATTGACTTTCCCCCTCCTTTTTCTCTACAGTATTGACAAAATCTCTAAAATAACCTCTCCAGTATTAATAATTCATGGGACTGAAGATGAAGTCATTGACTTTTCACATGGCCTTGCATTGTTTGAGCGTTGCCAAAGACCTGTGGAGCCTCTGTGGGTTGAAGGGGCAGGTCACAATGATGTGGAACTTTATGGGCAATACCTTGAAAGGTTGAAACAGTTTGTGTCACAGGAATTGGTAAATTTGTAAAATCTGTAAATTTGCATACCGGGTTTTCTTTTGCTGAACTGCACTCTTTGGTAAAGAACATAAAACCTGAAGGTTTTGTTTGCAAATCATGTCAGTTGCCTTCATAAATGTACAGGTAATGATTTGTTTACAGACTTAATGAAGGTTTTAATTACCAGAACTATAACTGGAAATAACAGTGTCATGCAGTCGGGCTGTGTAATTTATATTTTTTTCTGTGAATTTTTTTTAACATCAAGATATAAGTACTGTATGAAATTTTAATTCTATGAAATCAAATGCTGTAAAAGTATTGCCAAATGCTTTTGCATATGAGAAACAAATTTATAAATATTTTTAAAACATCTCAATGTACCAAATCTTATCCTGGTATACAAATGTAATATTCTTTCAATAAAAAGCTGTATATCTGAAACAATTCAAGTACTGAGAAAACACACAAATTCACAAGAGATGACCCAAACCCTGTTGAACAGGAATAGAGGTGTAAACAGTTATTCTATTGTAAAGTACATTGGATTTTCTGTATTCCCTGGTTATCATACATTTTCTCCTCTAAAAAATAAAAAAAAAAATGATTTAAGTCTTAATTTTTATGCCATCTGTTAATTTACCAACTAGTTACCTTGTAAATGAGAAGTCACGATAGCACTGAATTTTAACTAGTTTTGATTTATAAGTTTGGTACTGTGAGGCAACTACTTAAAATTTTTATTTTAGTTATTTAAAAGGCATTTAGAGCTTCAAGAATGACTTTTGTATGCAACGTTGTTTTAAATTTTGCAGTACTCTTCATTATAAGAAAACCTGAAAGTCCATTGGATGCTCTTCAAGACCACAGACTGGCTTTAGTCCCTTTTCACTTTGGCTATTTTTAACAATAGGACCTATTGGTTTGGATTATTATCTAAGAATTTCATGGATTCACTCCTGATGTAGGAGATCAGAAAACATTTAATTCATAACTTTTATATTAACCAATGTAGTAAAAAATAAAACAAACAAAAACTAAGTTGCCTTTCCTTGAATGAATCATTCCTGAATTTAAAAAATGAAAGAAAAAGAAAAAATAAATTAATGGTATGTAGTCTCACTTGTAAATGAATGATATTGAAATAATACACACTGTGGATATTTTTAAGGCCTTACGTAGTTTTAATTGTTCTGCTTGTTCTGCGGTTATGTCTAAGACTATAGTATATGATTCTCTTCAAAGTATATCAAGTATTGTGAATGCTTTGGATCAGATGTGTCAAATTAACAGTAAAACAAATATACCACTCAGCTGTGCTTGTTTGCCTTCTTCCATGTTCTCTGCCTCCTATAAAGGGTGAAGAAAAGTTACTGTTCATCTTAATAGTTCTATAGTTTTCTAAATTTTATTAACTTCTTTCCTTTGGAGGGGTTTTTCTTTCTCAAGATTGTCTTGGAGCCTATACAATTCCTTCTTTGTACAACATACACCCCAGAGTTTAGCTGAATGTTTTCTTTGATTAATTCCATATTCATACAATGAATATTTATTGCATGTTTAAAGCTTACAAAACCTTAGGCCTGATAAAGATAGACATTGGCCATATCTCATAGACTTCACAGTATAAGGTAGAGTCCCATGAAGTAGTTTTTCAACTGAGCTTTAAAAATGACTAAACCTATGTGGCCCAGGTGAAACATTACTGGCTGAGGGGAATAGTATGTGGAAGCCTGGAAGAAGAATGGTGTATTTAAAATTAAGATTGGCCAGAGGTCAAATGGAAAGGATGGTATGAGGCTGGCAAGCTAGTTAGGGGCACAGTTATATGTGGTATCATGGACCCTGATTACTGTCCTTGAAACAATAGAAAGCCATTGATAGAAATATGAAACTGCATTTGTCAAAAGTTTGCAGACAAAATCTGGAGTTTTTAGCTTAATTAGAAATAATATGGAAGCCAACTTCAGAAACTGATTTATTCTTTTTGACAGAGTAGAACAAAGTGAAAATGGCAGATTAGAGCTCAGTATAAAAAATAACTATGGGCCTGGCCAGTGTGGCTCAGTGGTTGAGAATCGACCTGTGAATCAAGAGGTCATGGTTCAATTCCAGGTCAGGGCACATGCCCAGGTTGCAGGCTCAATCCCCAGTGTGGGACATGCAGGAGACTGCCAATTAATGATTCTCATCATTGATGTTTCTATCTCTCCCTCTCCCTTTCTCTCTGAAATAAAATATTTTTTTTAAAAAAAAAGAAAAGCAACCCTATAAAAAAAAAAGTAAAGCATAGTTTTTGAATGTCAATGAGCTAAAAGCTGTTAAACTGGTTTTTTTTCATTAGAGCCAGATAAGACTTGAAATGACTTTATACCCTCTATTTCCTCCTGTAGGCCATGTACTGAACTTGCAAAATACAATTATATAACATCTATTAAAAAATTTTAGTAGTGCCCTAACCGTTTTGGCTCAGTGGGTAGAGCGTCGGCCTGCGGACTGAAGGGGCCCAGGTTCAATTCTGGTCAAGGGCATGTGCCTTGGTTGTGGGCACATCCCCAGTAGGGGGCGTGCAGGAGGCAACCTATCGATGTTTCTCTCTCATGGATGTTTCTAACTATCCCTCTCCCTTCCTCTCTGTAAAAAAAAAAAAGTTTTAGTAGTATGCTTTAAGAAATGAGATTCTTACATTAGAAAAATGGAAGAAATGCTGTTTTAAATCTGGTATCTTGCATCTAGTGATAAACTGTAAATTTCAGCTATTGTACTAAATGAATCTCGAGTTGTTATTTCTAAAATTACTGCTTAAGGCAGCTAATTAAAAAGGTAAGAAGGGTAGCTGGTAGTTCAAAAATCTTAAATGTACCTGCCAACTTGGTGGATTCATAGACTTTAAATCAAAACTTCTAATTAGCCTTTTATATTATAAACCTTTTCAGGTGATGTTTATAAGTGTTTGTATTTAAACAATTTCAAATTATGTAAATACAAGTTTAAAACTTTGGTCAAGTCAGACCATTTATATTCACCAAAGTTCAAGATTTTGGTGTGTGGTGTTCTTTTCTGGTATATTCTGGTTTGTCTTTGAGTCTGGAAGTCTAGGCCCCAAGCCTCCTACTTCCACCACTACCAAATAGAATGGGCAGGTGGGATGGACACAAGAAAATACTTAGATATCCCTGAATATATGTAATGCTATCACGAATGATAATGAAATTTGCTAATATCCAATGTAATACCAAGTACAAAAATATAGGTAAGTGGTTACACCTCCATAAAATAAAATATGAATGCCTATGGAATAAAACCAGGAGGGAATAAATACAGTGAAGTTTTTTGTCAAAGCAATAGTGGGCATGTAGTAAGGATGGAGCCACAGTTGTTTAATAATTATTCACCTTACTAGCTATAGATAAGTTTTCTTACCCTGGGAAACTGGAGGATGAAACAGTTTAAAAAGATAAGATGCCTCAATAGGTCCATTGCTCAGAAAAATACATATATTTTGAGAACAGACCAAGGACAGGACACGCTTTGATTTGGTTGCTGTGCCCGGACCCTCACCCCCTCCAGGAGTTTGCCTCCAGAACACTGACAATTCTCCGATCCCAGGAACAGGCTGAATTGTTTGTAACATAGAAGGTTAGCCACCTTGTTATCGGACTTTGAGCTCTGAAGGCCAGACTGCAGACCCTGCCCTCCCCTTTCCATGTTACACTTGCAGCTCGCAGCTGCATGCAGCTATCTTCTCCCTCGTGTGTGTATATAATCAGCCAACTGGCGGGAGCGGGCTGGGAGAGGGTTGGGGGAGGTCCAATTTTAAAAGTTATCCTTTATGTTGCTATGGTATTTTTATTATTATAATAAAAGAAGGGGAAGAAACTTTTTAAGAAGTTTAGGCCTCTGAAACCAGGAGCCCAGTATAAACCAAGGAGAAGTAGCTCTCAGACATATTTTTATCCTGGCTGTCAGAGCAGCAAATACAAGTAGCCAAAAGAAGAGGTTTGTTTTTAGTGTTTTTGTTTTGTCAAGGAATATAATGAATTGTACCATATAATATCTAAACTTACTCTCATGTAGTACTACATGTAATGAAAGTATTTTCTAGACAATGCCTACATATTACAACTATTCATGTTACAAATCCAACAATGCATTGTTGTAACTGTTAGTTTACCATCTGCAGTCATTTCTTCAGGCTAATATAGTTTTGCTCACATTCATCTCATTTGTGCTGTTGGTGATTATATTACACATATATTACATTTCTATATGTATAAGCCCAACAATCAGGTACATACATATTATTTTACAAAAATGCTTTTTAAATATGACCCCCTGCTCAGTCAAAAATTCCCACATACTTTTTTTTGTTGTTAATCCTCACCCTAGGAATTTTTTGCCATTGATTTTTATTTTTCAGAGTGGAAGAGAGGGAGGGGGGGGAAGGGGGAGAGAGAGAGCAAAACATGGATGTGAGAGAGATACATCAATTAGTTGCCTCCCGCACGCACCCCAACCAGGGCCATCAAACCCGCAACCCAGGTAGGTGCCCTTGACTGGGAATTGAACCTGAGACCCTCCCATGCATAGGCTAATGCTGTACCCAACTTAAACTCCCCAAAATTTATACAATCCACAGACAGATACAACCAGGGTTTGGAATCTACAGTTGGGAATGTTGAAGATACTGTTGTCTATCCACAGTTGTTTGAATCTGCATGTAGGAAATCCAGGATAGGAAGGACTGGCTGTATTTATTTTTTAAAAAAACACCTGGATTTCAGAGGACCCAGACAGTTCAAATCTCTGTTTTTCAAGGGTCGACTGTGGATGTACCCTTCTCTTAATAACTGAAAGCTTCCTGGCAACTGAATTCATACTGTGTGAGAAAGAAATGTTCGAGAGAGGTAAGATTTCATTTTTTTTCATTTCAGAGTTTTAAGTCAATAAGATAGCTTTGTAATTTGCAGCTGTAACTTTATATTTTCCTTTTGTATTTTTTAATTATGTTAGAGAAGAAAATAGCAAAATTAACAGTACAAGGGGGGATGGAAGGTAGGTCGTGTTTGGAAGCTTAGCCATACTAATTGATCTCTTGGAGCCACAGTATTATTACCAATTAAAGGGGATACTGATAATACCCATTTTGTCGACCTTGGAGATATACTATGAAAATTAAATGACAATCTTAAATGGGAATTCTTTCAGTGCTCTCAAGGAATATAAAAATATAAGGGGTTGTTTATGTCTAAAGATTGATCTATGTTTAGAAATTAAGAGGATCAGGTCATGAATTGTAGATAATTTGGAGGGAGTTTTTATTCTTGATAATGTGCCAACTTACTAACAAATTTGCAGAGAACACTCTTAAGTCTATGATGAAAGTTGGCCCATTTCTTACTTTAGCCATATTCATGTGACTGGTAGAATCTAAAGCAACCAAAAGTTCCTGTGTGTCAAGCCTTAAAAATGATGGTCCTTCCGGGGAAAGTGGCAACAGCTGAATGAGCCACAGCAAATGTGCCTTTTGTCCAATCCTGTCCTCCTGACAGTTTGGCTCCAAACATGTACTGTATTCCCCAAACATACTGTCTTTGTGTTCTGAGTTTTAAGAGTGAAACTAGAAATGCTGGAGGCAAGACAAATGATTTGGGGTCAGCTGACATGAAGTTCCCATGGCTTCAGAAAAGATTTCATCTGTACTGGCAAATCCTGGGTGCTCGTATTTCCAGAGGCGGGGATAGGGGGGTGGGAGGGAGTCCTGAATACATTTTTTTTCAGTTACAGTTCTCCACTATTATAAGAATTAATTATTCAAATTTAGTTTGTTAGAGGTTTGATGTTTAACTTTTAAATATTAATTACCAGGAGATACTAACAAGATTTAATCTCTTATGGAGGATTTTAAAATGTAAACCCTTTTGTTTCTTAATGTAGTTCCCTTTCTAATGAAACAAACAAAAATGATCCACAACATACTCTGTATCTTGATCAAATTTTTATTATAATGTATTTTACTTTATTTTCTTTTAAAAAATATATGACCTACAAGAATATATACCTTGGTCAAATTCTTATAATCTGTCTTTTATTTTATTACAATGTGTTGATCACAGAGTCACTACTTTGCTTTATCCAAAAACCAAAGGATTAAGATGGAGTAATTTTTTAAAGCAGCAGTTCAACCCAGAGGGACAATCCCTTTAAAAAAATTGTCCAGGTAGGGTTACCATTCATTTAGCTGCCCTAAACACAAGCTAATAAATACAAAATCTACTTCCAACTGTCCTGGAGTTCTCACAGTACTTCTCAG